TCACCTTTACAACCTTAAAAACAAAGCTTTTTTAAAAGTCTACATTTCATATCTATTCAATTTACCTGAAAAACAAAGACAATTACTTTATCGATGACTAGGTTGTTAATCAATATGATAAACACATTTCCTATGTGTACGATGACATTGTAAAATACTTTGACGTTCAGCAGTCATTGCTTTAGAGCAAAAAAAGTACTCATACTATTTTATTTTTCTTTAAATTTTCACATATTTATGTACATTATATGTTCGATTATCACCTTGAACTGTTGTGCTAAATGAACTTAGCATTCAAATTGATTTAATGGTTTCAAAACATATAAATGTGAACAATTAACTATTGCACATAGTTTTCATACTAAATAAAAAAAGAAATGAAATAAATTTTATTCTTTTTTTCTATTGTTTGATTTTTTTTGTCCTTCTAAAACTTGATTGAATTTGTGCTAATGGATGATAAATGTTAATATTTTACGTCCAAATATTTTCAATTGTATATGATGACCGGTTTTCACGATTAATCCGATATACATGACTTTCAAATATATCTAATGCATTTGATGTATATATTCCAATATGTGCTATAACAATACAATCTATTCCGTGATAATTCATTGATTCTATGGGTACTTTTTTTTTCATCTGTCAAAATGAACACGATAATTTTGATAAAAATCAATAATAAAATCAATTGGATATACTATATCCGTATCAATTAATGTTGTACAATTTTCACCATTCATATAAGCTCATTTAATATTGGCAATACCTTTATTAGGATTCTCGACAGCACCATATTCATAATTAATAAAAATATAGTATTCCAAGTATTGAAGGGTGTGGGTGTGCGTGTGCGTGTGGGATGTGAGTGTGGGTGGGTATGAGTGTGGCTTGGGGTGTGGCTTGGGGTGTGGGGTGTGAACGGGTGTGAATGTGTACTTTTCATCTGCACTCATAATCACCCTCACCCACACCCTAAAAATGCATTCTTATGTATTCATCAACATGTCATAGCCATTAAAATAGTTTGATTTGAAGTTCAATTGAATTGAACAAGCATTACAATTAAATGAACGAATACTCTCCTATGTTCTTCTTTTCGATTCATGGAGTTGCCATAAAAAATAATACACGAGAAGAAGGCGTAAGGTTAAGAGCCATTTTAAGATTTTGGTAAAAATCCTTAATGTTGTCAAGATGACAAAATCTTTAGATGAGAGAATATGATTCGATCGTTCTGAGTTGTACTATTTTACTTGTAATAAATTCTAAAAAATGCTGCTCGTGAAGTTCATCAAGTCAATTTTTCTTTTTTCAATACCTTTGTTGATTTTTTTTACTAATATAGAAAGTAAATTATGTTGCTGACAGTATAAGATGACAAGTGAACAATTGGTAAAATGTAAAAAATTGTGATTGATTTCACAAAGATTATTTAAATAAAAGTATTATTATATAAAATTTGAATACGAAAAAGTTATACATGTTTTCATGGTTATAAATACATTAAAATACTCGATTTTGATAGAGCTTCAGTGAAACATATTTGTACGTAAGAAACTCCTATATGAATTATCTACAATAAATATAGATAGCTGATTTTTGAAGAGAATAATAGAGATATATCGAATTACAATAGTTAAAATAGGAGAAAAGCTTTTCTGTATTATTGTTGAACATTAATATGTTCGATTTTTGCTATAATACATTAACAAATAAAATGTTGAGAGAGATTTTCTCAACTAATCAAAAACACTTAGTAGATAAAATGCGATCGATAAGATACAAATTAAACTCTCGAAAAAAGAACTACTTGACGACTGGTAGAATATCGAATTCTACATTCATATTTTGATATACTATTAGATGAATTAAAAGATATGTCGTTCTTGTAATCAATATCTGATGCAGCTTCCATCAGCGACATTGATATGATATCTTGACCTAATGAATAAATCCAGAATATTTTTACATGATACAGTGGAGAACTGAAAAAAAGAAACAATTATCATATGTTTGTTAGAGACATTGACATATTCTTGTCATTCTGCCAAGAATCACATTCGTATAAATTATAGAAGGCCACATCAACAAAGCGTTGCCAGTTCAAAACACATGTTTCTGAATATTTGCCACTAATAGAAAGTATCTCATTCAATAGTAAGCTAAATTTAAAATTCGTTGATACCTAAATTGTCCATGCATTATAAAGTGTATTACTGAAGCAGAATCTAATAACAAAGTGCGAGTCATTCGGGATCGGACATCATACAGATTGTATATTACATATACTTATTTTCAAATATCAAACAGTAAAAGAAAGTATTTTCTTGTTAATTGCTTTTTTTAGAAACAAAGATAAAGCAATTTTTTGACAGATGCTTTTTTTCTTCACATACTGTCGTGTAATTTGACTTTTTGAAAGATATCACTTTCTAGAATACTATATATATATATGTTTGATTTTCATACATTTGAGATCCATTTATTTGATTTCATCATTGTGAAAAGACTTTGTATGCTAATAATCTACAGTATTTTTTCCGTCTGTATTTTCTAATAGTTTTCTTTGTTGTTTTACATTTTATTAATTTGTAAGGCATGAAAAAATCTGATAGAATAAGAACAAAATGAGCATTAATTAAGGCATATTATGGTGACGGAGCAGCTAATAACGGTGCACACATCGCTTGACAAGCTGCCAAACATAGCGGAGTACCAGTGAGAGCCGTTCCTGCTGAACATCCAGCTGAGCAAGCAGTAACACATGCAACATAAGCCAAAGGTCTACCATTTACATTTGAGCTAAGCAATAGCAGTAGTAATACTACTGTTAAATTTTGAATACCTAACATATCTATAAATGAAATTTAATGCTATATTATAAATCAATTATATTAATTAACTTACTAGTTTGCTTTGACATATCGAGTTTGTAGTTATTTTTCTAAATGATTCGTAAACAGATAAACGCTATTGTTTTTATAGTAAATTACTGCCCATTCCAAAAAAAGAAGGCGGGTAGGTATTTTTTGAATAACTTTTCATAGGAACAAGATTGAGAGCTGCGGTTTTCACCGTTGGAAAGAGCAGATGAAAACACATCGAACCATATAAGACAATGACTTTTATTTTGGATTTTTGAAACCTTTTGCAATAGTTGAACAAAGAAATGTCTTAAAAAAGGGCTTGATTTTTCCAGGAAAAACGAAAAAAACTCAAAAAAACTGAGTTTTTTACAGAAATTGCTGGCAAAGTGGACTAGAATTGTCGAATATAGTACCTAGAACTCCTAAACTAGTAAAGCTTTGAATCAAGCGTTATATACAATTTTGTAGCTCTTTAGCTGGCGATTCTAGCGCACTTCTCAAAATTTAAGATTTGTTCTACTTTCATACAGCCATAGTCTACTCTTTCAAGGTGACAATGGATCACTACCTATTTTTGAGATAAAGCTTAACAATTTTATATGAATCGATGCGCTGAATCAGCCTCTTTCCAAAGATGAAAACCGCAGCTCTATAACTTGTTCCTACCAAAAGTTATTCAAAAAATACCCACCCGCCTTCTTTTTTGGAATGGACAGTAGTTAGAATTTTCTAATTCTCTCTGCCATATACAGGGACTGAATTAGAACGTATTGGAAAATTCCAACTACTGTTATCTAATATTAGTCATAGAAACGAACATGTCCATGTGATATTATTGACTCACATAGTGCTTTGAGGTTACACAAATCCGAGTGAATATTTTCTTTTGCTAGGCGCGGTTCCGAAGGAAAGAAAGAAAAATGTTTCACGTGGTATCATTTCTTATTGTCTGATAACAGAATGATTCAATCATAGGATTTTACCATTTTCTTCTATGCAATAAGAAAACAATCAATCAATGGATTATACAAGATTGGAAAATGCCATTCAATCGAACTACTTAGAGCATACCAAAAGTCTTTACGGAGCTATATCAATTTCTTATAGAATGCTTGAAGAAATTTTCTTTTCTTATGTAGTGATAGAGAAAACGATGCTCTATTTTTCTATGCTATTTGATCTATCTTCAACTAATATCATAATAATAAAATTTCGACAAAAACTGTTTTTGTGTAAAACTTAACTAACAGATGAGACAGATTAATACGCTTTGCATTTCAATTTCCAAATCACTCAGTACGTTGTATTAAAAAACAAAATATACCACAAGATGCAGCGTGAAAAGCTCTACAATTTATAAAGAACAGTTTATTTTATATATGAAAAAAAAAGACGGAATTTCTCTTCACATAATTTTTTCGGGACGGCGAAAATTGGTCGCACAGAATTTTGGTTTCTTTGATGAGATATACACAATTAAAATAATCTTTACTTTGTAGATTGTAGAGCTTTTCAGGCGGCATCTTGTGATGTATTTTATTTTTTTAAATAAAAGATATCAGGTGACAAAAAGATGAAATAAGAAAAAATGAATTCATCTTCTACCAAAAAATATCATTTTCGTAAGATCGAAATTTGATCGCTCAAAATTTTGTTCATTTTGAAAACAAAGAATGCAACTATAAAATAAGCGGTCTTATGTAAATTGCAGAGCTTTTCACGCTGCATCTTGTGGTATATTTTATTTTTTAATACAATGTATTAAGTGATTGAAACATTTACTCTGCCGCACCCGTTAGTTAAGTTTTACACAAAAACAGTTCCTATCAAAATTTTATTATGATGATATTAGTTGAAGATTGATCAAATAGCATAAAAAAATAGAGCATCGTTTTCTCTATCACTACATAAAAAAAGAAAATTTCTTCAAGCATTCTATAAGAAATTGATATAGTTCCGGAAAGACTTTTGGTATGCCCTAAGTATTTAAAAAAATGGAATACTTAGTATTATAATTACATAGTGAATTACAAATAATAACGACCAACTCTGCGCACTAAAAAAGAAATGTATTAAATGTTTTTTCCGCTAATCTATAATCATCTTTTTTTTTAATTGATAGAAACAATGTCTATTCAATATTTCGTTTTGGTATTATTATTATTATCAACTATTTTATCAGTGAATGCTGAACCTCTGGCTTATGTTGCATGTACTGCTGCTTGTTTATCAGGATGTTCAGTCGGAACGGTGGTGGCAGACGCTCCATTATGTTTTCCACCATGTCAAGCACTTTGTTTACCACTATTAGCTGCTTCAACACCTTAATGCATTTTTCGAACATTCATTTAAGTGTAAACGTATGCTGTTCTCTATTAAAACATAAACAGATAAGAACAACAAGCAATTGAATATTCGTGTGGTTGGAGATTGTCAATAGAAAAAAATTGACAAACATTCCTAAAGAATTTAGTAGAAATAAATAAAAACTAATTTTTCTTTTTGCTGCTAAAGACCTTATAATCATCGTGATAGTTCGATGCGTTCATCTTCAGCATTATCATCAAATGCTTGTTTTTATTTAAAATATCATTTAAACAATCAAGATGAGCAATCTTTTAATATGAATTTCACCATCACGTACAATACCGTATACCACAATACTTTATGTTATCTTTGAGTCTTTTGCTCGCCAGTATCATAACACCTTTATTTATTTGTTCTATTGATGTCAGAATATTATGATAAGTATACTAAAAATTCATTTTAATTTTGTATCATTGATTTTATATTGAAATAAATAAAAATGAAAGCATCGAAATACTACTCTGATTATATACGTTAACTATGTATTAAGCCCGTTCGTTGTAAAAAATTTGCTTCTTATTTTATTACATAAATACATTAAATAATTACTATTTCTATACACATTCTGATCAAACCCGTAGTTTTTTATTATCAATTTATACTTTATTAGATCTTGAATATCTTAAAGAAAACTCAGAGACAGGTACAACTTACTTTATATAAGTATCGGTACAAATGTCGAGGTAAGATGTGTTCGAATAGAAAATGTGGGAAGCCTAACTTTTCAATACACAGATAGAGCAAAGTATTTACTTGGAAATATATATGCCGAATAAAATTTAGAATGTGCTTTAATACATTAAATTTTAATACTTTTAAAATCAGTAAATATGATTTTTTGCCAATGAAAATACTTTCGCGCTTTGTCTTGTTCTAACTTGGAACAAGAAAGTTGTGGGATCGATTTTCTATGTTTTTTTTCGATACATGGTAGCCAATAATTAGCATTAAAAGAAAAAACCCGTAGATTCCACGATTTTGGGGTGTGCATGTTGGCGAGTGGAGGCATGAGCGACGAAAAGAAAATTTTCCAGATGAAGCCGTCATATATTTGTTACTTTGTGGATGTGCTGCTCAGATTCATATGCGTGGTGAAGTTCAATTTAAATGTATATTTCACTTTGTATCAATATTGACAAAGCACAGACAGTAAGAAAAATAATAAGTGCCTATTGCTCCTCCAACTTTTTCATGGAAAACAATTGCTGCCCTGTAAGTTCTGGTGTGTCGCCTATAAGCGTGTAAATGAAGTAGATATCATCATTTTCAAACCACACCCACAGCCACTCGCTGGCATAGTGTACGTCCAGTGAAGAATCAATAAGCGTAATGGTCTCAAGCAAAAAACTTTCGGCAAAATATACTGTGACGAAGGTATACTTTAGCGAGAGTTACTTTTAACTAATAACCAATTCACCAAAACTTAAATAGTAAAAACACTTGAAAGCAAAATAGCTAAGGTGTCTCATTGAAAAATTTCAAGAAACAGCTTCTTGGTGACACCAGACATTCACAGCGTCGACATCTTTGAAAGGACTTACCTATTCATTCTTTTTGACCTACCGTGTGTGTGTGTCGATGTCCGGATGATTTTTGGCAATTAGCCTTCTCTTCATTTTCACCAACCTCTACATCCACACACAATTGTGCAAACAAAATCATTTGACTTCAATCAAGTGACTGCGTCGAAATGATTCATTAATCAGTGCGCCACGTGCTAGTCCATCATGATCTAAGTATTCAATAATGTAAACTGACGATTTTCTGATAGAAGAAGTGTTAGTGCAGATGGAATAACACTTTATTATGTTCCTTCATATCATACAGTCGCGTCGTTTACATAGAAAATACCCGTTTATATATGCCAAAAGAAGGAGAGAGAGAGATGACGCAAGGAAGTAGAAGAAAGGAAAGAATCTATTAATAATAGTAATGCCAGTGATGAGAGAGCACATATATCTTGGTACTGTCAGAGTAAACGATTAGCTAATGAATGATATATAGTAATACAAGAGAGACGAAGAAAGCGTTACGCATTCAACAGTGACAGATGAACTATGCATCATCATGTGTATACAATCAATGATCAGAACTAAATAATAACAAATCATCAACTACACTGAAAGTGTCACATAAACGAAGATTTTGACATTGTGATCGCTGAGAATAGTATGATCGACTGGACTATATTCGGGTTCTCATCGTTTGGAGAAGGATGTGAATGAGTGGGTGAAGGTGAATGTGGGTAAAGAGACACCCACACTCACGCCCATATGTTATAATTGAGAGCAGTGTTATTATTTTCTCCTGAAATACGTTGAAATCAAATATGAAAACTTGCTCCACCATATCTGTTTCACGGATCTTCCATTAACTCTGAAAATTGCTGTTCATTCTAATGAAAATATATTCAAAGGATAGAAGAGGAGTATATGTAATCTTTTTATACAATACAGAATTTTACTTCCTTTGACTTTCGATGAATAAACAGATAAGAAAAGATATGCTTCAACCGGGAATCGAACCCATTACCAAGACTAGTTAACATGACCAGTACTTTTTCTTTCTGAATGATATTCAATCATCGACAGTCAAAGGAAGTAAAATTCTGTATTGTATAAAAAGATTACATATACTCCTTTTCTATCCTTTGAATATATATTTACTCTTAAGAAGAGAGAAACATTCACCATCGTATAATACTTGGTAAGAAATAGCTTCGCTATATTCAAGTACGTCAAACACATTGGATCGACGTTAAAATACTTTCGACAATTAAATATCATTCAGAAAGAAAACATATGTGAAAGCCGTGCTTCGATCACTCAATGGTTAGAGCATTGGTCATGTTAACCAGTCTTGGTCATGGGTTCGATTGCCGGTTGAAGCATATCTTTTCTTATCTGCTTGTTCATCAAAAGTCAAAGGAAGTAAAATTCTGTACTGTATAAAAAGATTCTAATGAAAAAGTAGACTGACAGTTAAATCGGTTTTTTGTCGGTAAAAATTTAAGCAGATTCGCCTGCATTGTTTATCTCATGATGTGAGGAAGTAGAGAATCAAAAAGAAAAAAATATGACGGTTTAAGACAACAGTTTTTGATTACTACATATGCACGTTACGACAAAAAGAACTGCTATTTTGCCATCGAAAAAAGTGTATGATATGCCGTCAACCTTCGAAACATTACCAGATGAAATTTTAATGATTATCCTCAGTTATTTTGGCGACGCTTATGGAAAACTTCGAGCATTTAGTGGCTTGAATCAACGTCTGAACAACATTCTCATCGATAAACGTTTGCATTTACTTGCTGATTTCTTACACATCAGCACAGAGTATACGAATTTGGAGAAGTATTACAACTGTGTCGCTTTTCAAGATGTATCGAAACAGTTAGTATCGATTAATACAACAATAAATACGCGACAACTTCGTCAGTGCTTACAATCGTTAGTCGTTTTTCATATGAAAAAACGATGCATTCAACTAGAGTTTCAAATTGAATCAATCCGTGAGAAATACGAATCTGTACGTCAGCATCTCACCAAAGACGAGAGTACTCGTGTAGACGAGGTTTTGCAAAGCGCATTCAACGATTTAAAAAATATGGCTAAGCCGAGCCAGTCCGTTGAACGAATCCAATCATTAGTTCTCGTTAGAGGTGCTCGTCTTGAATGTAATGACTATGGACTTGTTTGTTTTAATCTTGCCAAAGCAATCAATCGATACTTACTTTCTCATATTCATTACACTGAGTCTGAAGCTTTCCTCGTGGACTCTCCATTTATTGAAATGTTCAAAATATTAATTATTTCAAATCCTGAGCTTTTAAAAAATCGTGATGTTGTCGGTAATGGTGGTCGAACGGTTCGTTATTTCCTATTCTATTCTGTCTATCAGTTACAATATTTTTATTTGAAATCGATATGCACTTCGATTGATATTAAATGGTATCAAGCTGTAGTAGATCTTCTCATTTTGGTGATCAAATGTGAGAAACAAGTTTTTAATCATCCAAGCTGGCTTCAAGAATGTATTTTTGATATATTGGATGTATTTTCTTCCACTAAATTAGTAATAGAGAACGGACCGTTCATAGAGGCTATTCAATGGGATATATTGAAAATTGTACTGCATGAGTGTGTTTCAAGCTCAACATCATCATGGATTGAAAATTTGGATCATGCAATCAGATTTATGTTAGTGAATTTAATTGAAAAAAATCAGCTAGATCTAATACTATTCTTATATCGTCAAGTTGAATCTGTGAGAAATTTCTTTAACAAGCGAAGTAATAGTCGAATAAATGTTGAAATGTTGACAGAAAATCGAATGGGCAGACAATTGCTTACAATGTTTATAGATGAGAAACCATTAGGTACTTGGCTAATGAATGAAGATTTCATATTTGTACTGTTAGACAAGAAAGAAAACAAGCTACTTGAACACTTAATAAGATCATCACCGTCTCTCGTGCATCTCTTAGACAAAGATGGAAATAATCCGTTACTCTATGTTTGTCTAAAGGTTCGCGGTGATCGGCATCGAATAATTCAACTGCTCATCAAGATAGGATGTGACGTTCAACGACGAAATCGCCGAGGCCAAAATTTTCTAGATATAATACAACTGGCAGAGAATCGAGAACTGCTCAATAACCTAGTCAAAGACAAAATAATCACAGTTGAATGATATAGCTCGGAAGATATGAGTTGATTTGAACACAGAATGTGGGTGTCACTTAACCGTCACAAACGCTTAGTATAACTCTTTATACTTATTATATAAATAAAAATAAATACTTATTATTTACAGAAGAAGAATTTTATGAACTCTTACGCCCGTTCAAAATGTGTTATATGTAACTAAGGTGGAGTTAAAAGAGTTGGACACTCTTTGTCGTTAGAAAAAAAAAATTATTATTTTCATAGTGATGAATACATGGTAGATAATACTTACTGTTTTCGTAACGTTCTATGAATTCCATCATGGAGATAAAATAGTACAATAGTTGCACCTGGAACATCCGTTGCTTCAGCAAGAATTAATTTTTGACTAAGTGTTTTCATCAAATCGATCGATTTATTTTGAAAAATAAAAAAAACAAATAATCAAGTGGTCTGTCCATGTAACGCGTGATTCTGTCACGAATTTTGTTGTTTTATGAGTCTCCTACCGTTTAAATAAATAAAAAATCAGGAATTTTTTACATGTAGTGTTGTAGAAAAAAGTGAGCTGAACAAAATGAGATATTTTTCGCTTTCGCAGAATATCGTGATTCTTTATTACAACAAACGTTTTATGGACCCCCAATTAACATTCCGCCGAAACAGAGCTCGTAAAACTTTTATTGTATTTCAGAACCATGACATTCTATGGAAACCGATAATATAAAATTTGTTCAGATCACTTTTCTCTACAAGACTATTGACCGCGCCAGAATTAGGTAGGAATGGGTGTAAGTTCAATAACTCAAGAACCGTAACACCTATCGACCTGTGGTTTTTGCTAATCGAAAGGGGTGGAGGCCGAACTTCTTTTTCTCCAATAATGTATACGACGAAATCCTTTTGAAACTAATCATATTTGACAAACATGCAAAAGAACCCATGAAAATGACCTACCAATTGGATGAAATTTCGATTTTGACCTTTGATTTAAATAGAGGGTCTTGAGATCTGTAGTTCAAGACACAATGAGCTTTCTTACTTTCTCTTACATGTTCATCGAAATCTCAAGTTACTATGATAAAAAGTGCGAAAACTTAGTAAAAAAATCAACTAAATTCCCATTATTTGCGCATGTAAGTACATGATTTCATTTTCTCAACGTTAGAATGTAATAAGAGAACCATTTGCATTGTGTCTTGAACTATAGATCTCAAGTCCCTCTATCTAAATCAAAGGTCAAAATCAAAATCAAAATTTCATCTAATTGGTAGGTCATTTTCATGGGTTCTTTTGCATGTTTGTCAAATATGATTAGTTTCAAAAGGATTTCTTCGTATAGGGTGTGGGTGAAGACAAGACATATATACTCACCCACACCCTCACGCACAGCCACAGCCACAGCCACAGCCACACCTACAGCCACACAACACACCCACACCCACACCCACACCCCCACCCACACCCACACACCCACACCCCACCCACCCACACCCCACACCCACACCCACACCCTCACCCACACCCATAAAACTACTTATTGATTTGATTAAATATTGGTTAAATAAACCAAGAATCGTTTAGTACATATTGAATCATGAAAAATCATATGTTTAACTGTCACCAAATTTATATTTAGCATAGTTATAATTTATCATTTACATGGTAAAAGCACTTGCTTCGAAATCGTTTTTGTGATAAATGGGTACCTTCGACAATGCATCACCGTTAAACGGTAAAACAGCGTTTTTCAACTGTCAGGGTTGTTGTGTAATTACATGGCTTTCGGTATGATTGTGCATTTATTACTATTTACCTGAAAAAATTCTGATAATGTCCTACTGACAAAAGAGGAGAGCGAAAAAAATATAGTTAACGCCCGATAGACAGAGAGAAGAAAAAAAAATTTTTTTTTTTCTTTTCTTATGTACCACAGTTCTATTATTTATTCAACCTTCTACTCGAACACACTATAACGAATATACTTGATAAGATAATATTCTTTTTGGCTTTTGAATAGTTTAGCAAACTTGACTTTGTGTGTCTGAAAATAAGTTGTTGTAAAAGCTAAAACTTTATGTATGACTCAAGATCATTACAATGTTGAGAAGCAATTTGCGGACTCCTCTTTCGTTTTTGATTTTCATCTAGTTAACTAAAAAGAATTCATAAAAGTGCATGCTTTGAATCGTTGTATTCTTGTGCTTTAGCGAGTTATTTCGAAAGTATTTTACACTTTTTTGTTTCAAAAATATGTATCCGTAGAGTTTTTCTGAACATATCGTTCGTAGAAGTAATAATTGTATCCCTTAGAAGATCTCATAGAGTTCTGATTCGATTCTTTGTACAACTAGAAATCCTGAAATTCTTTTCGACGTAAATCTTCTTACTGTCTTTTCACTATTATTTAGATTGCTGCAATGGTTCTTCATTTATATATCGACTGGTTGTCTCAGCCTTCTCGTGCCGTAGCTATGTTACTAATGGAAAATAATATTGAACATCGAGTTCATGAAATCAGCTGCATGCAAGGAGAAACTCAAAGTGCTGAATACAAACAGGTGAATCCAGCTGGAAAAGTTCCGTCGATTGTTGATAATGATTTTCACTTGGATGAGTCTCATACAATAATGCGCTATATATGTGTAAGCAGGAATCTACCTGATTATTATTATCCAAATGATATCAAACAACGTGCTCGAGTCGATTATTGGTTAGACTGGGATCACATGAATTTACGTCATGGATCAATGTGTTTAATAAGAGCAAATTTATTGGCTCCTATTAAAAAGTATTCGCAACAAACCATCGATGAATTACGAAAAGAAGGTGACGAAGTATTAAAATCAAGTTTAAGCTTTATAGAGGAAGCCATGAGTAAAAATAACTATATTGCTGGTGGAAATTAATTTTCAATTGCCGATATTGCATTAGCATGTGAAGTGATAATGTTGCCAATTGCAGATGCATCATACAAAGCTTACCCAAACATTGAGGCATGGTTAAAAAGACTTTCAACAGAAATCAAGTGCTGGTATCAAGTTAATGCAAAATTAGATCAATTTCTAGCATCGAAAGGCAAATAATCCTATATTGATTTTTTCTTCCTTATAGAAGTAACGCTATTATTTTCTGTTTGCAAACTTTTAGTTAACTACTTCAAAAGCATCTCTGAGTGCTGTGTGTGTTTCTATATTTTTTAAGCACAAAGAAATTATCAAATAAAGCCTAGCGGCTATACTATTCACTCGAATGAAATTAAAATGGGAATGAAGTCGCACGATGAAAGTGACTCGAGATCAATTTGCTCATTGATGTTGCTGCGAAATTGTTCCACTTTCGAGTTTGGATAACAATCCAAACTGATGATCGACAGACGACCAAACGAGCTTTTGTCGCAACAAACATATCTGACACATGCATACCTCCTGTAGTTTGAGTCAACAAAAGTTATCGTCGTTGGTGCACTCGATTTTTATTTTTCTCTTTTCTTTTGACATGCATTCTTTTTCGCTCTATTTGCTAGACAGAAGTACAAGAATCGTGCAACACAAGAACTTAAAAAATACCAAAGACAATAATGCAAATGTGATACAGCTTGAATTGTGTTATTGGGATTCAAATAAAAAATGTTCACACAACGTCCTAAGAAATGTAACAAACTTTACCAACTTTTATCTGCATGAAATAGTGTTGAGTTTGTTTTAACATTGAAAAGCACATGACAAATTGATAGGTACTAATTGATTGTGTTTCGGATGTGATTTTGACGAATTAAGAGTCGGTTTTCAAACAACGTAGTGTCAGTGATGTGACTCACTTTCAGCTCGGATCCATCTAAACAAGCATTTGGCAGACACTTACTCACAATGTGTCTTACAAGAAAATAGTGTAAGTTTGTATTTTCCAAGTGTAAAAATGAAAAAGAAAACGGTTTTTATCTACACAGACATTTGCATCATTCTTCTTTTTGATCTCATGGTATTCTTTTTTTCTTTGTTGTGCTAAAAAAATACTAACCTTTTTATTGTTCTTACAAGGAAACGTATCCAACTATATAATTTCTTAATCAATGCGTTATATTCATCAATTGTGATACAAGATTTGTTAGGAATGGTATTGCAATGAAAAATCGCGCTCTTCATAAAGCAACATCTTCACAGCTTCCTTACCACTACTTTGACTTGTGTTTGAACACTGGTAGTCAAATAATTATTATTACTGTAGTTTCTCATTCTTAGGTAGCAACTTGAGTATATACTGCATAGTTTTCCAAACTATTAACAGTTAAAGTATTATTTTACTTATTTGAAGTGATCACAACCGAAGTAGCGCACAATATTTGAACTTCATCATTCAGCCAAAGAAACAAAGGACGTCTTGTTCGAACTGGCACTCAATCATCAGCTTAAAGAAAAGCAAATGTTTATCGTTTTTCATTCTATCATTAAGTAGAGAAATTTGATGGTAATTTGTATCGTATATGTCTCAGAAGCTTCAAACATTATTTTGAAATATTACAAAACCCCGTGTTCCAAAGAGATTCAGTTTAAATGAGACAATTTCATTTTTTTTCTCTGTTGCTTTATCATGTGATCAAATGTGATATTCTATGGCATAATTCAAAATTTCTCTTTCATAAAATCAAAGTTCTTTCAAATATTCATTCATCTACCTTTTGAAACTAAAACTGTGTAATAATGCGAAAGAAGAACTTGTTGACAGACGCAGACAGCTTTACGAAGAAAACTTTAGTGTCCTGTATACACTAGATGAACTCGAACATGACTACATGTGGGTGGGTGTGGTGTTGGATGCAAATGTGGGTCAAACTTCTTTTCACTCGCACACACATCCACTGCACCTTGACTATTAGCCATATCCACACTCACAACTACATCCTTTCTTCATCGTTACTCTCAACAGATTTCATTGACGTAATGATACAAGTTGTGAAAAACCAATAACATTTTTTTCTTTCTATCCTGTATTGTATCACTTTTTCAAAAAATAACAAAAGAGCAAACAAAAAGGTAAGTTAAAAAATAAACATTTGAGAGAGCAAATAAAGGACGAAAAGATGTCCTGTATATTTTAATCAATGCTGCTTATGTTTTCATAATCATCAGTTGGAAGTTTTGTTTTTCTTAAAATCTATCTATATAATGATGAGAAACGTTTGTTGCAACAATGACTACTTTGAAAAGTGAAGGCATAAAAAAACAATAGTAAGTTGAATAAAAACATAATTATTCGCGTGATTTATACTAACCCGAAAGCATGCTCAAAGTATTCGAATACTGTCTGATAATGTCCTAGACTTTCGAATATCCATGACGTATTACTATAACTAACAGCTAATGAGACATGATCAGTAGAAAGAGTTTTTTGTCGTATTTGAAGTGCTTGTTTAGAGAACAATAATGCAACTCTGAAGTTGCTCATCGAATCATGAACTATACCAATATTATTGTAGACAGCAGTTAATGACAGATAATTAAAAGGAAGGAATGGCTGACAAATATGACCATATTTTTCAAGATAGGGCAAGGAATTTGAATAGTCTCTCATGGATCGATACGTCTCACCAAACATTTCTCCTCTATTCAGTGTAGCTATTAGACGTGTTTTATTGATTCTTATTACAGTGCATCATCCAATCACAGATTAAAAAAACAAATAAATTATTAATATGGAAATAAGCAATGAATCGTCAACAGATTTTTTCTTAAATCCTGATCTTCAGACACCCAGGATAAACAAGAGAGTAAGATCTGAAGGTGAAGAGTCTCACGAGTATGAAACAATTATTATGCCAATGGAAAAAATGTCAGTAAATTTCAAGCACTCGAATCAATATGTAACAACAACTCAACAATATGACTATCCTCCAATCACCATCGATCTCAAGTCTGCTCATAATAAAACGGATAGAAAATTAATCGAAGAAATTATGAAAGAATGGGTGTGGGTGTGGGTGGGTGTGGGTGTGTAGGTGTGGGTGTGGATGTGGGTGTGGGTAGGTGGGGTGGGTGTGGTGTGTGTGTGTCATTGAAGCAAAGAGCTACATCCACACCCATACCGACAGCCACACTCTTGCTTCTATTTTCTACAGCCGGCTATGACGTACGCCTATTCTATGTCAATTGTGATTGTTGCACGTGTGTTTTGGTCTTTTTATGGTGTCTCGAGGGTGTTCATGTGAATCGCACATTATCTGGGTTGATGCAAAATAGAGAAAATTTAGTTGCAAAACCTTCGAATTTTCTAATTGAACAGGAGACGTTTTTGTGGTTACTATTGCTTCGAATTCTCAAAAAATGCCAATATTTATGTCGAAAGAAAACATATGACTGAAATCTACGTCGATTTCTCGATGTACGAAGAAGTGAAAGTGAGCAGCTGAAAAGAGGTATAGGTCTAAACTGTTTGTCTTCTTCAGTCTTATATAAAACGATACAAATACTTCTATTTCATCAGCGGCAGAAATAAGTGTTCGTTTCTTTTGAAACATCGTTTGACTAATGAAAAGTGAACTCATAAGCATTGATACTACTCGGCAAAACTACCGTCTTTGAGCCAAGACTGTGGTAGATCCCAATCGCCCGGAAACAATCCCATTCGTACTTTATCCTCGTCTACCTCAATGCCCAGTCCAGGCAGATAAGGTACATCCACATAGCCTTCTTTGACCTAAATACAAAACACTCAAAACAAAAAAAAATGAATGATATTCTTTTACCTGAAATGGTACTTTCAAATAGTCACTACCCAATGTTAAATGCTCTTGGCAAAGGAAATTCGGTGTGCACGAGGCAAATTGCAGTGAGGATGCTAAAGCAATCGGTCCCAATGGGCAATGAGGTGCTACAGCAATATTTCGTGCTTCGGCCATGGAGGCTATCTTCCGAGCTTCAAAAATGCCCCCACAGTGGGAGATATCGGGCTGAACAATGGCTACGGCTTGCTGCTCGATAAGGTCATTGAACTGCCAACGCGTGAATAAACGTTCTCCAGTGGCAATAGGAATGCTCGTGGAAGAGGTAATCTGCTTGAGAGCAGCTACGTCACCGGGCAGTACTGGTTCTTCTAAACATGAAAAAAAACTGTTCAATAAAAGACTCTACACTATTTGTCTCCAAGATGTTGCGCTTTGGCCCAGTTCGGGATTTGTCAAAAGTCAGGTTACGGCAGTCGTCCTAGTCCCGGGCATACTTTTTTCATTCGCAAAATGGTCCCGAAAAGTTTATGTTTTTTTAAAAGAATTCGCTCTGCAACAAAAATAACAGAAAGATGGTGTTTTTTGACTGATTCTACTGATTTCATAATTACCTCCTTGAAAAATCGTTAGTTTTCGAAAGCATTCTCGTGAAATCAGCACGACGTTCATCTCGTTCAAGTGAATTCTTTAGAATTTACAATAGTGAACAAATGGTACACAGTTAGGAAAAAACTACCCAAAAAGGAACAATTTGGCTTGAAGCTTTAACCACAAGTAGATCTCGATGAAGTCTGATCGCCAGTACCGGCGCAAGTTCTATCACCTTAGCAAGGCTGAGAGAGAAGATCAACATCGTTAACTTTTTTTATGTGATACTATTTCGAGCTAGAAAAGAGATTTAATGGCGTTCAATCCTCCATTGAAAAACATGATTCCTCTTCTATTTCCACTAAAATTTTCATCGTAAACGGACTTTCTTTCTTTATATTATGAATCATTCTCTATCTAGCCACGAAACTGAGACATGATAAGTCTTTCATTATTTGACTCGAATCTCAGACTAGGCTTAATTGTTTGCCTTAAAAATTGTACTACAGAATGCTCCATTGTAACCAAATCTTTTTTGAAATGTTCAGAATTGTAACTATTAGGAAAACGAAGATTCATACTATGCTATACTAAAAGAATAGGAGTCCTTACAAAAACGTTAAGTTGCAACAGATCGGACCGGCCTTTATTAGATAAGTAGACCATCACGAGAACTTTTCGTTGCTGAAA